AAAACGGAAGAATTTTCGAGTAATCAACATCCTGAAAATGCGATTTTCATCGCTAAGGCCGAACAACTAAAAAACTATCCGATTTTCGTTCATATTTTATATAGCAAAAAGTTATTGAAATTCAGATAAGAATTCATAACTAAAATAAAATGTAACATCTTCCGTTCGAATAAAAGTTATTTTGTGCTCTGCAACTGTTCAGGCAGCCCCTGTTTAATTGTGAATATATTTAAAGTACGCTCGTTCAGTAAGGTACAATATGACAATGATAAACTGAATCAATAACTTCTCGATTTTTGCTTAGAGTTCAGCTGTGAATTGACAGAAAAAGACAGAAGATAATGTTTATTGTGAATAAAGAACAAATAGTTGTTTTCTTTCTAATGTGCCAATACTCTGTTTGTTAACGACAGGCAGAAGAATATTTGTTTAAGAGTTTTAAATATTGGTTTACATCCACAACTCAACAGCTTAAGTTAGTCTTTTTCTAGACAGTTTTTCAACTGACTGTTTTGAGCGTAACCACCAACCACCAAGCTAGTGGTTTTGTGGCTTCTTGATGAAAAAAGTTAATATATAGTTGAAAGACAAATTAAGTGTAAAATGCCAAGGCCGACATTTACACATAAAATCAAATATGTTCGTCCAATGGATTTATATTAATTGTTGAAAATTATCAAAACTTTTCAATCTGCCAGCTTATAACAGCGAAATTAAATTTCACTTTGTGATATAGAGTAGATAATGATTTTCCACCAATATTATGAGATATTCCGCTGATCCAACTATTCCATCTCGTGTACCACACGTTCCCAGCCGAAGCTTATTGGATTCGTTTTACCTGAAAATCTAATTTGCTGTTCCATTAAAGGGGGGCCAAAGAAGGAAGTCTATTAATTTCCATACGAAAATGTGTTTTGATGACGACAGCCTAAGTTGTTCCTAACTATAAACGCGGAAATTGAAAAGAAATTGGGCGTCGGCTGACAAGGTTGTCTGCCTAAAAACGTGAACGCCCAAGATTATATCGTGCGTTTAAGTAGATGTTTTCGTGAAGGAACTGAAGCATGTTTATGGCGTCATTGCCATTGATTTGCTAGCATTAACGACGTTATTCATGAACCAATTTTCAAAAATGAACGTAGAACAAATCCGTGAATTAAATATGTTCGTTTTGAAGTAATTAGCAACCGCAAGGTTTTTTTAAGCCAATTAATTATTGATGTTACAGAAAACTTGGATTTGATCACACAAATCGGTAAGGCGACATTCTAATTTAATTCATATGTCGCACGACTCTTTTTTATTTTCTCTTTGATCGAAAGATGGGAAGAAGCAGAAGTAGCTTGATTTAATATCGGTTGATGCGTGTTCAACTTTACCACAAAAAATTAAATTGAATTTTTGTTTATAAGTTTACACCTTATTACCAGCATGTCAATCAAATTCTGCTTTCCAAAGAAAACTATAAGCGCAGAAGATTACCTAAAGTGTTAAACGGTTGATTCCATTCTCGAATTCTCTTATTAGGTTTTTAGAGTTAAATGTGTCGCAAGTATCAATCAAAGATTAAGCCTAAAAGATATATTTTTTTAAATTTCTCCAATTTTCGATTAGAGTTAATATTTGCACGTTGGCTTCGACAAAAGTCATTCCGTCATAATTCACAGTGCATCACTGACTGTACGGTCAGTTAAGTAAATCATTTCAGAATCAAATAATTTTTAAATTTGAGTTTAGATTGCGCGTGCTATTGAAAATCACTACTATTTGCGGCTCACATTGCTTCATAGTTGTTTATATTTAGTGACAAACTTATTTGTTTGAGTTTAATTCCTTTTGGGTCTTAAATTAGTGAGTTTTTTTCTAGCAGCAAATAGATCGACAACTAAGCGTTTTTGGAATATAGTATATTAATAATATGCAGGGTGTCCTGTAAGAACAGGATCAAAAGAGCACAGATTCTTTGGCTCAAATGATGGTCTTCACGACCATTCTTTTATTAAGAAAAAATGTCTGGCTCCTCTGTAATTGACGATTAAAGTTCTTCAAAAAAAAATATATTTTTGTAGTATCGCGCGAATGGTACGAGTGAGCTTAATAAAACTCGCTGTGAATTTATTTCTTTGTAAGATTCAAATTTTGATGAAGCAACCGAGATTCATCCACTTTGGGCAAGTGAGGAATTCTTGAGTGTCTTGGTACAAAAACCAGCAGATTTTTTTGTTTGGCAGCTGGAATTAACTGATATTTTATTCAGTTGTTGTTACAAAAAAAAATTTTTTTTTAATAAGTTTGGCCATCACTAACAAGAAGAGCCAAATATTTTTCCTAGCAAAAAGTAGATCAGGATATCCTCTTTTGATCCAAAATATATCGTCCCTTTTGATCATGTGCTTATAGGACACCCTGGAAATCTAAACTAACTTTTTGCAAAAGATTCAACTAGGGATGCATTGACACACCAAACATCCGATAAAGAACGAAGATAAACGATAACGGTAAACTTAGTAGCAAGTAATAACTTAAACAACCAAATTTTAGAATCATGATTTTTTTAAAGTGCTTTTCACGCAGACGGCGAATTTCTGCTCTAATTCTATTCTCGCAAACTTCATACTCCCAGTTAACAAAATATTCAGAACGGCAAAACTAAATGGAACTGGATAGCAAAGAATCGTAATATTAGTAGCGATAGATATTAATCAATATTTATGGATTAATCCAATAACATACCACTTTACTTGACCACATCTTTAGCCTATTTATATAACTAAAAATATGTAACAAAACACTGATTTAAATAGAGTTAACAAGTCTAGAACAATTTTCATTTTGGTGTGAATGTTATTTAATTAAATTAAAGGAACAAGCACATTGTAATAAATTTTCTACCAGGCGCTGACGACCTTAAAATTCCATTACCAGAGCCTAGAACACATGCCGCTTTGCCATACGATGGCAATATTTATAATGTCAAGAACTTTTCAAAATTCGGCAATTTCTGGGCGCAATTAAGGCAGTAATAAATTACATTCAGTTAGACTCTGAAAGCTCGACGGGACACATGAAAAACCGAAGTTAAACTGTTAATCAAACCTAAACGGAAACATAATTAGATCGCTTTGGGTTGTTATTTTTGCAAATACCGTATAACAAAATTTCATATGATGTTCAAATATTAGTAGTATTTGTGGAATAATAACCTTACCACCTCGAGGGGATGTTTTTCATATACAGAATGTCCCAAATGTAATGGCACAATATCTTAAGCTCTTAGTCTCAATATCTTAAGCGCTCGGGTTTGTTGCGACATCGATCAATAATAGTTTCTGTGTACATTTAATATGAGAATAAACCAGGTACTTTCCATATACATGACGACGAATGTTGCAGAGATACCACCGTAGAAGGCTTTTTTGTAAGAGTTGTTAAAACTTGATTGCATATTTCTATTGATTTTCGTTTATTCGTAAATGTTTCCAGTTGTGCATTCACAAATTTAAAGCGATTTGTTATTTATTAGTACCAAAGGAAATGACCTTAAAGTCCAAGATTAATTTAATATTATATTCATTTATTAAGGAATTTTATCAGTAATTATTGGTGCTTGGCACTACTGAAGCACTGAAATAGTGGAAACTGCTAATATGTCACATAATAAATTCAGTTTAAGTCAAAAAACAATTTAAGTCACAGCACATATGCAAACTATTTTATTTTGTTCAGTCAGTACTTAAATACCTTAAAAATTTATATAAAAATAACCCGAAAGGTACGATATTAAATTTAAACAGAACTGAAAATAAAGATCACAAACTGCATTGCAAAGTCGATAAAAACATTGAACTGTTAGTAATTTTGGGGCTTCTAGTTTGACAACAAACAACATTAATTTATGCTCTACTGCTTTCAAAATCAAGTGTATTGATTCCTATTTTCTCTTGAGAAGACGAAGACTTCTCTCCTATTTCGACAGTAATGTTCAAATTTTGTTTTACAAGTTATTCTATAGAAATATGCTGTGTGAAGCCTCAAATCTTATTTCTGATCAAATAGGTTCCAATCATTCTGTACTCACGGATACTTGAAAGCTTAGTAGGAACAGTAATCGAAACCATTAACCATTCCTGACATTGAAAACAAAAATAGTTGCTAATTTAGATCCGGCTTAATTTGTTCTTTGAAAAATTGTTCTTTATTTGTCTTTCGAGTGGYAAACAGTGACATAATTCATATCTAATTTTGATYAAAATYYTTTTGATCAATTTGTAGATTTTAATTTTAAACTGCGGGTTTTTYCARCTCGCCCAACGATTGCCAAAGTAGATACGAAGCCTACGATATACAGATTAATTTATTTGCCCACCTATAAAACTAAATAATAATATTGTGTAATCKTTAAGCTTTTRGGCTAAGCCTTCGGGCATCGGCACTTCCTTAATTCAACCTCCATGAACCAACTGGTAGCAGGAATCCACCAATGGAAGCTTCTGTGCGGATGAAAATGCAAGTGATCTTAATTATCGACGTAAATCCAGTTGGCTGTTGAACTTTAGGATCGAAAACCGCAAGGACGTCTCTTAATATAAAAAGTACGGGTCTTGATTCGATTAGTATTGTGCTTTATCTCAGCAAACGTGCCGCAATGGACAAAAAAGTAAGTAATTATTTTTGCGATATTAATCGCATAGTAATTTTTGTGTAACAAACCATTTGTATACAAATTTTATTACTTTGAACTATTTGTATGTTTCATTTTTGAAATAACCATTGGGTAAGTATGTATATTTCATATTTGTATCAGATTTTTCGATAACCGCAGATTTTTGGCAGTTAGTCGTAGTGAGATTGCATCTTAATGCTTTTTGTTGGTTTAAATATGTTTAAAGTGAAGTAATACGGACAACTATTTTGAAATAATCCAACAAGCATTTTGTGCTTACTATTTTGAACAAACGTGATATCCCATCAGAAATGTTCATTTAATCAGAATCATAAATCGAAGTAGTTTTATATCAGACCTAGAATTGMACATAAATAATAGAGCTTTTATGGAAGTTGAATTTATTCCATTKAACCACACTTTTTYGATCGCATGGTCACAAATTTGATATCATAAATAGWTTATACAGGATATCCTAAAAAGGGTTTGTAGGTAACCAACCATCCATCCGCAAAATGCGGTTAGATTATTTAAGATAATTCGTAAAATTGRCTGTAATTTTGTTTTCTTAATAATAGATTTTTKAAAAMTTCTTGCTAATTAATACTCACCAGAACGTGACTGWGTCTAACACAYYGTTATACTAATYAGTTGGAAACAACTTTATGGATATGAGCCCAAATAGATATTAATTCCAYATTTCCAGTAGTCGAAAGTTTTAAGGGAACTGTCGTATGTTTTCTTGCGAAATTCGRAGAWTATTTAGCYYAGTTTCTTCGTYAGTTCGCAGTACTACATTTTCATMGTTTAATATTCTAAAAAGTATTCCTGTTTTATTTTCTAGCCGCAGAAGATCTTGCTGTCCAGGTAATTTCTAAATTCCTGCACGGRCACACTTCTGTCAGCAGTATAAAAGAAAATGTAACTGTATCTTCAACTTATTCTCTGCCATGTGAAACGCAGYTCATTTCTACAAAAAAAAAWATTTTTYKACGACTTTCCTCATTAAGTTTYGTTAAYGTTTCAATCATGTKAAGATCATCAAYCAGTAATGTCATAAAATAAATTGGAAAGAGCAAATCACTAAAGTTCTACATAAATATCATACATTTACTTTTACAGCCTGATCAGCCGATCAACCGATTTGACTCATTAAATAAATCTTTTTGCATTTTGCTCAATTCTTCGAATTTAAAATCGAATGAAGGTGAATTGATTTCAAATGAAAGTTCTTATAATTGAAATACATTAACGACAGAACCTCACTCACATTTTTCTTTAAGATATTGATTTCATTTACTTTCAACAACAGCTTCTGTTCTATTTGAATCAGGGTGTAGGCTTCTTCCAGCAGAAGAAAAGCACAAAATCTTCGCTGTGTTACATCAACGGAACTCATATTTCTTCGAATAGACGACCCACATTCCAAATATTCTTTTTGTTTGACCTTCTATTTATATTTAGGTGCGAATATACAGTAGTACACAAATACATCAAATATTACGTAAGAATTTAAATAGGGCGTTCTTAAGCCCACTTTTAAATATGAAACTATTTATCCAACATAATATAGTTATCTGGTGCATTCGTTTTCTGAAAAACCCTGTAAATTAAATGTAAAATGAGACTCAATACCCAAGAGCAAAATCGCATTAAGGAAAGTAAAACAAAATGCATGTTTTTGTCGAATGTTTTCATTCATTCATTTTCCCAAAGAACAGTTTACAAACTGATCCGCGCAATACAGAAATTCACTGGGAATTTGCATTTAAATTTTAACGGGAAACTTAGCAGTTACATCATAAAATAGTTAACTTTTTAAATGCCAGCTAAGTTCTTATTAACTTTTCAGGTAGCTTGCGTCACTCTTTTCTGCTTTGCTTTGGCAAATGCCGAAATCATTCCCTTGCAACCGGGCAATATTCTGCAAGGGCCGAGTACCAGAACCAAAGTGATTGGACCTGATGGTAGCATAATCGATGCTTATGCACCAGGCGGTAAAATTGTCTTGGAAGGTGACACTGGACCTCTACTTCAACCAGCTCCCGTAGTTTACTCCCAGGCAGCTGTTGTGGAACCCCAAGTGTATTCTCCCATCAGCGTTCAACAACTAGTTTTGGCTGAACACAATTCTAACTCAGTAGAAGCCGTAGCTCCAGTCCAAAAAGTTGTAGCTGACAGCATTAGCGTGGAAGCCTCGAAAATCTCCAGGGTGTCCGAAGATGGACAAAAGGTGTTCCTTCATCCCGGTACCCCTGAGCGAGTAGAGACTAGGGAATTCGTGCCAGTTACTGAAGATTCGGAAGAAACCGCTACTCCCACCACTGAAACAGCAACCATTGAATCATTCACTGAAGATTTAAGTGGAACTTACGTACCGGATAATTTTGAACGGCTGTTCGATGATGGCAGTTACAGACCTGAGCATTTTTAAATTCATTTTGGAGACTGAGATAATGTTTAATCGCTTATTAATTGTATTTGATAAATATACGTAATTTATATAGTGGTTTGTTTTGATGAAATTGTATAGTGTTTTGCATATTTTCGTGTCGTTTATTTCATTGGAATATCTAAAACTTTTTCAAGTCTCGTATCTAAGCATTTATCTTTCTTTCGGTTTTGTTGATGTCGCATTAAATTTAGTTTTTCTGCTTATAGCTCTTCTAAAATCTAATAACTAAAAAACACGAAAGCAAACCCAAACTTAGACGTTTAATGACAAATAAAAAGTGTCCTTAAACTTGCACAACATTACATGCGTCCTTGCAGCAAAACGCTTCTTGTAGGGTCAATAAAGAAATGTTTTTCAGTTATGTAGATTATCCCACATGGTTGTTGTTGAAGATACAGGTGCATGCGGCGATTATTGAATGAAAATGAAACCATACGATTCTACTATAAAAATATGTCGTCACACTAACAAGACAGATTGGATGGATGAACTTAACGAACTCAATTTACAATAATCCAGTCATCACGATAAATATTTCATCCTGGTGCAGATGGAGTTTTAACTTAGTTAAATTTCATCCAGTTCTACATTTTGCTTTACATTTAATGGGCGCTTATACCAATACCTACATTATTCTATTTCTCTGGCGCTCAAACGCCTGGTAAGAGTAACAGTTAGCTGAATTGCTGTAAGGGTTTTACTCAAAAAGTAACAACTCATGCATGTACTTAAACAGTATATTATTTATCTCAATACAAAAATCAAGTGCACAGCATTGGGCATCTCAGTCAAGGCGAATCAAATGCTTGGTAATTTAAAGTCCATGAAGACCGGGTTTGTAAGATCCGTCATCGTACAACTTTTCAGTAAGGTCAGGGACGTATTGGCCTTCAATACCAGATCCTTCCAAACCCAACAGTTTAGCGGTCAAGCCAGGACTGGCCAAGCCCAAACCTAAACCCAAACCGCCTACAACACCACCAGGTACTATCGAAGAAGCAATGAGACCTAAAAAAAACAGTTTTGCATGAAGGATTTGTCGGAAAATATAATTATGTGAGCTAATTTTTTAGATCGACGTGTCAATGAGAGAATCTTTGTGTTTGTGTGCTCTGTTTAACCTTCAAGTTTGCTTAAAAGTGACTGAAAGTTCCAAAAAGCTTTTAGTAAAATAATTATCCTAAAATATATATCAAAATTTCCTGTTTTGTGTATGAAGCAGACATTTCAAAATTGGAAAAGTTTTATTTGAACCGTAAATTATGCGCATTACAACTTATAAAACCCAAATTTTAATCCAAAAATTAGTTGTCAATGAGCAGATGAAAAGGGTTGATAAAGCTGAAAGAACAAAATCGTCCGGAATGTCGGACATATTTATGTTAAGAAGTCAAGCATTGTTTATAGGCATCGGCGAAATAATATCCTTAAATTTGGCTTATGTTCAAAAAATATCTGTACAGTTTTTATTCAAGTTCGGAATCGCATATTTTCAGAATGATAAACAAGAGGTTCACTTGCAAGTTATTAGCCCTAGAATAATTTATATCTTCGTTTTTGTCCGTGATGTT